GTATGGACATCCTGGGCCCTTACCTGCTCCTGCATTCACAGTACAGCTGCCGGAGTGCTTCCCCTCAAATGGTGGGAGCTCTGAGGCTTGGGGAGGGACTGGCACCGGTGGTTTGGGGTCTTTCTCTGGCACCTGGCACTGACCCCCTCCCACCCTCTCACTAACAACAATGGCTGATGTGAAAAGACTGATCTGGGGCCATGATGCTTCAGGGTTCGGGGCTCAGTATATGATCAGGATCAGGGATCAGACAGATACAGGAGAGGTCTCTATCCATGACCAGCGTCAGGGTTCAGTCAACAACTCGAGTGAAAGCTATGTCTGACTATGTTCTGGGCTCAGTCAGGGAGCAGAATCAAGTTTAGTCTGAGTGTGTGATTAAGGGTCAGGACTCGGTGTGTGACTGAGATCAGGGCTCAGTCTGCTACTAGAGAAAGAAGAGAAGCCAGCTTTGCTTCTGCTCCTCCACAGGCCCCTGTGGGTGTAGGTGTGTGGGTATGCGTGTGTAGGGGGTGGTGTTCGTCCTCCCTCAGCCCAGGGCCCAGAGCCCAGGCCTCACCAGCAGGCAGCCCTCACAGCTGTTTTCCTCATCTGTTTTATGAGTTTTCCTGTTGGAGTTCATAAACTTCCTTCGAAAGAACAAATTAGTAGCAGTTCTCAGGCTCCAGCACTGGAAAGCTGAATAGAAATCAAACACAAGTGGCTGCCACCCTCCAGTGGGTCTGACTTGACATTCATGGGACTTCTTGCGTGTCACTCCATCTCTCTGAGCCTCAGTTAGTTCATCTGTAAAATGGGTATGATGATACTGCCAATACCCACACGGCTTTCGAGGATCTCATGATATAGTATGTAGGAAGCACAGAGAGATTGCCCAAGGAACTCAACCTGTGGCTCTTTTTAGAAGGCCTGCCTCCAGGACCCTAACACTGTTACCCACTCCATTTCTGTTGCCCCACAGCTCCAGCAACCACAGTCTTGGAAAGCCCCCAGGGACTAGAAATGAAGCCACATCTCCAGGAAAGCCCCCAGGGACTAGAGATGAAGCCACATCTCCTCATTAGAAGCGAAGGGGAAGGGGTCATGCTTATAAACAATGCATACTGTTGCAACAATGCAATCTTTCTGCTTTTTCTTTAAATCCACTCATCAGCTTGGCAGCATTTACACTCTCCTTTCACTTTTGAGGAAACTGAGGCTCAGAGAGGTAGAGGCAGTTGTCCCCCACCCCACTCTTGTTAAGCAGCACATCCAGGGTTTGAGCCCAGACCAGGCACGTCCTCTTCCTCACATCACTCTGGGCATCAGTTTCTGCTGGCATGACAAAGGAGGGCAGTAGATGCGCTCTGAGGCCCACAGAGGCCCTCAGTCTGTGGGGACCCCTCTGGCCATCCTCTCACGACTTCCTCAGGATGAAGGGTCCTCAGCTTCTCCAGGGTCCCCTGACCAGACCTTCCAGTGTTGCAGTCATAGAACGGCATGCGCCCCACTGTGAGGCTGCAGAGGGAGCCCCCCACTGCTTTCCCAGGCTGTGACTTACCAATATGGTTCTTAACTTACTCCGTATCCAGGCTTTCAAGGAGGCTGAGGACTACTGGGCACACCTAAGGGTCACAAGGAAGGAAAGAGAGACACACACAGAGAGAGATGGAGAGAGGGAAGGAAGGAAAGAGGTCAGAAGGTAAGGAGGGAGAGGAGAGACGGACGAGGAAGAGGACTGGTGATTACCTGCTGTGAGCACCCTGCCTGCCACCACGGAGATGCTCAATATTGAAGCCTCAGGACTTCTGACTTCTTAGGATTCTGGAACCATGGAAACCTAGAAGGCCCAAATCTGAGAACTAGAGGACACTAAGATCCTAAAACCTCAGAATGTTAGAATCCTAGAACCTTGAAGAATCTAGACTTTTAACATTCCAGAACCCTATGCCCTTAGAAACCTTGACCTCTGGATCCTGGAATTATAGAGTTTAATAGGGCCCTGGGAATCATAAAGAAGTGTTTTATGTTTTTCACACTTTTGTGTGCCTACAGTTCCCTGAGGATGTTGTTAAAATACAAATTACTGAGCAGCTGGTCTGGGGTATATCTGAGTCTCCATTTCTGATGAGTGTCCACGCGAGGTCAGTACTGTTGGTCTGAGGAACACACTTTGAGCATGACTCAAGTTCAGTAAATCACAGAACAGCCTGGAGGATTTTGTTTTAATAAAGCCAGATTCCCACTCTCCTTGCAGAGTGACTAATATAGAATATTTGGAATTTTCGGCACACTTATATATGGTTTTTATGTGATGCACATGAATCTGAGCTATGGTGTGTATAGTTTTTGTATTTAAGTGAATTAAAATTGCATTGAATGAAGAAAAATATTAGCTAAAAGGTCTTCTGTCAGTCCATGGGTATGGTAAATGGTTCCAGTGTGGGACCCAGTGATTTCAACTCATGTCGGGCCCCTGTTCACCTCCTCCCCAGGCCAAGCTGAGTGAATGGGGGAAGGTAGCAACTGACTGCCCCAAAGAAAGCTGTACCATCATAAAGGAAAGTGCCAGAGAGTACAGCCCACCCAGGGAAAGTCATATCTGCCCCACCAGGCCTGGCTGCACCCCGGGAATGGAAAACTCACCTTGTAGTGCGTTACCAGAGACAATGCCTCTTCACGAGGTTGACCTCAGAGTTCACAACCCTGTTGAGTAAACTGGAGAAGAGAGGAAACTGGTAAAATCTTGGTGAAATTGGCAGAGCAGCCAAGCAAGAGCAGTGGGAAGAGGGCAGAAGATGGTGGAGCACCGTGAAGTCAGGTGACTTGAGCTCCTACTCAGGGTGATCATCACTTTGAACTCCATGGTTGACCAACAGCTCATCCCAATAGCTCATGAGAGTCTCATCACAAACCTGAGACCTCATCTATCCATCCATCCATCCATTCATCTATTGATTCTTCTATCCATCCATCCATCCTTTCTTCCATCCATTCATTCTTCTGTCCATCCAACCATTCTTCTATCCATCCATCCATCTAGTCATCCATTCATTCATCAACACATATCTAGAGAGCACCAACTATGTGCCCGGAACGAAACCCGACTGGGGACACAGTGATGAACAAAGCACAAGCAGCTCCTAATGTGGTACCTAAATATTGGGTTGTCCAAAAGGTTCATTTGGAGTTCTCGGTAACAATTTATGGAAAGACTGAAAAGACTTTTTGGCCAATCCAATATTAAACACATTTCTAAGACTGGTTCCTTCCCACCTTCAACTCTCAGCATAAATGTCACCTCCTTGGGGAAGCCCTCGTGACTGCTTGCCTAAGGGAAGGCTTTGTGTCATAGCTCCCTGTTAGGTGTGTTGTTCTGCCCAGGAATGATTGCAATCAAACATTTTCCTAGTGGGCTCTTTACTATGGACTGAATGCACGCCTGCCTGCCTTTCCCTCCAGATACCAAGGTCCAGGAGTGCAAGCTCCTTCTCTGCAGTCACCAGTAAATTCTCCATGTTTAAGATTGGTGATTGCCTATCATAGAGCAGGTGTTCCACACATTTTCGGCTGACGGAACAAATGAAGTAAACATATGATTGAATATATAATGACAACTTGTGACAGGTATACAGAAGGGAGAGAGTAGAATATTAAAAGAGAGAAGAGGAGGAGACTTGTTTCAGACCCTAAGTGATGAGACATATATGGAAACTTGTTTCAGACCCTAAGTGATGAGACATACATGGAAATGGGATGCAGGAAAGGTGTCCTAGGTGCCTGAGCAGCCTGTGCACAGGTCTTGAGTGGAAGGAGTTTGTCTGAGGCTCAGATAAAAGCTACCGGGGGGAGGGCAGAGTGGGCAAGATGTGGATCCAGATCAGGTAGAGCCTAGATGGCTCTGGGAGGGCCTGAGATTGCACCCAAGTGGAGAGAAGAGCCCCCAGAGGGTTTGGAGCAGCAGAGTGGAATGCCACTTCACAGATATGGACACTGAGACCTGGAAGGCAGGATGGTTTCCCTGGGGCTTTGGGCAAGGCAGTGTCCAGCAGGGCTCAGGCATTTGGACTTACAGCTCAGTCTTCTAAGTGATGGTAGGCTGCAGAGCCTCTATTTGGTTATGGGGGGTCTTTAGTTAACCTGTGATCAGATCCCTTGTTGAGACAGAATGGACTGACCTCTGCTCAGGGCTCAGACTTGTACTCTGCCAAGGCCAACCTGCCCCAGCCTTCAGCTTCCAGATAGTTTCTCCTCTCCCAGCCAGGACCAGGATCAGCCTTTCTCCTTATACCCTCTTCCCTGGGCTAAGCATGCTCTATCAAGCACACAGTTTAAGATGTAGATTTGCTGGGTTACCAGAGATCAGCGATTCAAATGGAAAGGATTCAGTTTTCAAGATCTCATTTTGGGAATTTCCCAGTGGGTTGAATATGGTTTGGGAACAATCTGAAATGAAGGCCCTTGGTAGGCATTTAATGCTCCTCTTGCCATCTCCTAGCTAGAGGCAAGAAGGTAAACACAGCGAACTATTATTATTATCATTATTATTGTTTCGGGGCATTATGTAATATGAGAAGGGTCAGTTCTTCAGATAGACCAAGCAATGTTACTGCATCTAATGTAAACGTGCTTGCATCTCTCAACAGAGCTCCAAAAAGCATGTAGCAAAAACAGTTAAAGCTAACAGGTGAAATATACCAATTCACAGTTATGATTGGAGAGGTCAACAATCCTGTCTCAGTAAGGGAAAGAAACAAGAGACAGAAAGTCAGCATGGATGTTATTATTACTGAGAGCTTACTATGTTGCAGGCTGTGTGCTAAACACTGGCATTTTCTCATTTAGCCAACACAGTAGCCTACAAGTTTGCTATCATTACCACCCTCCATTTACGGATGTGAAAACTGAAGCTTCTAGAGGCTAAATTGATTACACGAGGGAGTGGCAAAGTTAGTTTGACTCCAGAGTCTGACCTCTTCTTTACCATACACTGCTCCCTCCCAGGTACAGAACAGCAGAAACTAACTATCCCAGTTCCTCTGAGATCCCCGCTCTGCTGAGATGTGTGGACCTGACCTTCCCAGCTCGGTGAGTGAGATGCTGTTTTGATCGTTCCTGCATTCTTCCACCACCACCTTGGAGACACCAGTCTTGGTATCATTTTCAACTCTGACACTAAACTTGAGAACCAAGTTGAGGTCCAGGTGGACAATCTCACCCAACAGAGTCCTGCAGGGAAACAGACTCACAGTGAACAGAGGTGAAGTCCTCCACATTGCCCACCTTAGCCTCTCTCTTATGTGAACACTATATAGGATGTCTATGGACAAGGACGGGGAAGCCTGGTGTGCTGCAGTCCATTGAGTTGCAAGGAGTTGTACGGGATTTAGTGACCGAACCGCAAATGGACAATGTCAATATTGTCTGTATTCTTTATGAAAGCAACATTCTTATATTAGGAGTTTCTTCTCCTGGCCACAAGAGTTTGACTCATGTGAATTTTATAGAGTGATCAAATTGTCAAATTATCACCAATGATCAAAATTAACTTGAGTTAACATTTCTTAAGCAAAATGCTTCATTAGGCATTTCCAAAAAAGTATTTTACCTGGATTAATCCATTTAATCTCAACAGCAATACCATGAGAAAAAAGCACTGTCATTATCTCTGTTTTCAGAATGAGGAAACATGTTGTAAAGAAAAGTTTAGTAAGTATCTCGAGATCTCATAGTTAATGAATGATGAAGTCATAGTGCACTTTAATGTGTAAGACTCTTCTACACGTCTTCATTTTCCTATCTCTTTGTATCTTCAAAGTAATTACTTAGAAATTATATTTTCCATATAATTTTCACATGCTCTTCATTACATATTGTGCACTACTATATGGCCCCTATTGGTCCCTGCTATTTAAAGAGAGCCTTGAGATACAAAACGATGCTGGAGGAAACTTTGCCTAGGAGTTATGTGGTCATGTCGTCTCAATTCTCAAGTTTTATAATTAGATAATGTTACGATTTTGGAAATATATTTCATGGAGGACTTTTTTAAAAGAGATTTGTTTCTGGGCAAAGTTCCTTAGAACATTTTAAAGGTTAGGATTTAGGAGTTGCAAAGGCATCCTTATTTTACAGATGGGGAGACTAAGGCAAGTGGCGTGAAAAGTGCCTGATTCCAGATTGGAGACCTATTGAGTGCACCACACTGCCTCTCCCAAACCTTGGATTTTAAAGCATACTCACGGTTTCACAGTGATGTCAGCAGTGATGGGGATCTTCACGTCAGTGTTGTTCTCAAAAGTCGCATCTAAAGTGATATCCAGGATGTGCAGGTTACTGATATTCACCCTGAGCAAAAACCAAATTCACCGTTGTTACTTCTCCTGGCTACCATTGCTGGGCTCTTCTCTATGCCACAATTGTGCTGAGCAGTTGAACCTCATGGACCTTGCCAGCTTTGGTCTCATGAGAGCCCTGCTCAGGGGTTGGATTCTCTCCACTGGATGGCATGGCAGACCGAGGATCAGACAGCTGCGATTTCCCTCAAGACTCCAAGCGTGAATACGTGCCAGAGCCAGAATTTTTTTTTTAATTGATATCTAGTTGCTTTACAATGTTGTGTTAGGTTCAGGTGTGGGGCTTCCATGGTGGGTCAGAGGTTAAAGAACCTGCTTGCAATGCAGTAGACCTGGGTTTGATCCCTGGGTCGGGAAGATCCCCTGGAGAAGGAAACGACAACCCACTCCAGTATTCTTGCCTAGAGAATTCATGGACAGAGGAGCCTGGTAGGTTACAGTCAGTGGGATTGCAAAGAGTCAGACTCAGCAGAGTGACTAACACTTTCACCTTTCATTAGGTTCAGGTGTAGAGCAAAGTGATTCAGATATAGATACAGATATATAGATAGATAAATATAGAAGTATTTTTATTTCAGGTTCTTTTCCCTTATAGATTATGACAAAATATCTCAGTATAGTTCCCTGTGCTAAATAGTAGGTTCTTGTTGGTTGTCTGTTGTATATGCAGTAGTGTATACATATTTATGCCAAACTCCTAATTTATCCTTGACACTGCTTTCCCTTTTGGGAGCCATAAACTTTTTTTTAATGTCCATGAATGTTTTGTACATTTCTTTTGTATCATATTTTATATTTCATATATTAGTGGTGTCTATGATATTTGTCTTTGTCTGACCTACTTCATTTAGTGTGATTATCTCTAAATCCATCCTTTTGTTGCTGCAAATGTCTTTATTTCATTCTTTTTTATGTAGAGACAGAATTAGAACCCGGAATTGCTTGACTCCAAGACTTCATGTGTAGGGTCACCTATGTGGTGTGACTTCTAATTTCCTCTCTCCTGAGACCATTTAGACCATTATGCTCAGCTATATTCAGAGAAGATAAGTCTTATTCCTTGGGAAAGGAACATCAAAACATCAAAAAAAGGACCATCAGACAGGTAGAGTTGGGGGTGAAGAGAACCTTCATCCTGACCCTGAAATCACAGGAGAAATCCCCAAATCATGAGATGCCAAACAGGTCCTGCAGATCTGACTCTAATTTTCCCATGCTCTGGTGGAGGTGGCCTCCACTTCTGCTCTGCAAGAACAGGGGATCTTCCCAGCCCAGGGATAGAGCCCAGGTCTCCCACATTACAGGTGGATTCTTTACCAGTTGAGCCGCCAGGGAAGCCCAAGAACACTGCAGGAGTGGGTAGCATATCCCTTCTCCAGCAGATCTTCCGACCAGGAATTGTACCGGGGCCTCCTGCATTGGAGGTGGATTCTCAACCAGCTAAGCTACCAGGGAAGCCCTCTGCGAGAACACACAAGGCTTATTCATCTTCCTGTCTTTGATGTCAGACTTAAGTCCCCAGATAAATGTATTCTCTTTTCTGGGAATAAAGATCTCCAAATGAAGCATCAACTCACCCTGTAAGCACATTTACTGCTTGAAAGATTCCAGAAATGAGTTGTTCCAACAAGTTCTTAGTATCCTTGGTCTTCTCCTGGGCCTCCTCATCAGTACTGGATTCCTGGGGCAATGTGACATCAGTCTTCAATAGCTGAAAGATAGCTGAAAAACAATCTCCATTTAGTGTGGTACACAACTTATGAAGCAGCTCCTATACACCAAGTACTAAATAAGAGGCTATGTTATTTCATTTAATCTTTGTAACAACTCCATAAAGTAGGTACTACTAATATCTGTAATTTCAGATGAGGAAATAAAAGATCAAAAGTTTAAGAAATGGATCAAAGTCACACAGCTAGGAGATCTTGTTCTTTCCACTCTGCCTTCACACTAATATATACTCCTTATCCATCAACAAAGCCATCAACCCACTGAGCAGGCAATAGGTATCGATTGCACATCAACTTCTAGAAGTGAAGCACTAATGAGTTGCTCATGCAAACAAAATAAACCTAGAATAGAATAAGAAATGGAAACTCTAGAATCAAAGAAAATATACAGATGCAAATCAGGAAAGTGGCAAATAGGAGTCCCTGAATGGCAGCTTTGCGTATGGCCTAGAAAGAGATGACTCACACAGGAGAACGAGGACAGAGTCCTAATGGACAGAGAAAGAGGGATTTGAGAGGGGGAGTGACATGGCAGATGTAGAATGGCACATTTGAAAAGTATTCAGAAAATATGTGTAAAAAAATAATACAAATGAGAAACAGCAAGGCAACAACTAGCTCAAAGAATAAGAAAAGGCTGTCACTGCAATGATGTAAAGTAATTAGCCTCCAACTAATAAAAATAAATGGAAAAAAAAAAGAAAAGGCTGCAAGAAAAAGTTTGTAATCAAAGTACTGCAACATGGCTTTGCAAAGGACAGTACCTAGTTATAATGATGCCAAGATGGAAACTACATTTGGGCCTATAACATACTAGGTAACTTTGATGCAGACACTCCTGCTTCTGAGCTCAATTTTATCAGCAATGAAATTGGGAAGTGGGTCCCTCCTGTATCTTTCAGGTTGCCAGGCTTCCCTGGTGGCTCAGCTGGTAACGAATCTGCCTGCAGTGCAGGAGACCTGTGTTCGATTTCTGTGTCAGGAAGATCCCCTGAAGAAGGAAATGGCAACCCAATCCAGTATTCTTGCCTGGAGAATTTCATGGACAAAAGAGCCTGGCAGGCTACAGTCCATGGAGTCACAAAGAGCTGGACACAACTAAGCAACTACAACTCAGTCACTCTCAAGTCCTGGCAAGTTTTGAAGGACAATCATTTTCAGAAGTTAGCTTCTCCCCATAAAGAGTGTTTAGCAATGTGCTAGTAATGTTTCCAAAAAGTGAAAAGAAGACCAAGTTCTTCCAAGAAATCAAAATTACAGGGATATATGATTCACTAGAAAGTTAAATTTTAAAGCTACCTAGGCTAGGTAGGATCTTTTTCCACTTAGTTAATACAAACTACTAAGAAAATTGAATGACCCAACAGAAGAATATGCTACAATTACAAATTAAGTATTTAAGTTACAATACATAAATGCCGAATAAAATATGAAAAATATGAGTGAAATCTTTCATAATTAGAGAAATGAAGAGATCAATTATAACCTTTCATCTGTGAGACAGGCAAAAATTTCAGTTGTCCGAACCAGTGCTTTCAGGAGAGTAGAAAAAAAGATACTCTCACAGATGATTGGAGAAACTATTAACTTGGGGATTATTTGTAAATATCTGCTGTAATTTAAAATATGCACATCTTTTGAGCTTTTGTAATGTCACTTTTAGGAATTTATCCTATTAGTATATTAGCAAAGTTTACCATGATAGAAGATGTAAATTGATATCCAGTTAAGTAATGCCTGTTTCTAGAAAAATAAACAAATGAACCAGGAACCAGTTAGTCACCTCTCTCAGTAAACCACCCAGAAGGAGCTGCCCCTGCTGGCAGCCTTTGGTAATACAGGCATAGGATTTAGGAAGCAAGCTCCTAGGTGCCCCTGATCATCAATTGTTGACTCACTTCCAAGTGTACTGTCAAGGTTGTCAAGTCCTTCCTCAAGACCAGATTTCAGCTTCCTCAGAGCATCCTTGCCAATATTGTCAAGAAGAGACGCTGAGGTCCCGGCGAGCAGGCCGCACAAGAGAACAAGTTTCCAAAGTTGAAACATCTTGTCCTGACACCTGGACAGTCATAGGAGGATCAGGAGTGAGAATTACCCATAGGGAAATGGGATCTTGGATGAGCATCTATCACTCTTACACTAAACATTCCGTGAAGATAGAAGTAGTTATCTCCTCTCTTATGGGTGGGCAACCTAGGTCAAAAAGCCAGAGAAACTTACTTGCCCAGAGACAAACAACCAGTGAATGAAGGCACTACTATGTGATAAGTCACGCTTGACTCCAGGTCAATTCTCTTTACTAGAGGTCCTTTGCACATGCTGGTTCCTCTGCCTGAAACACTTCCCTCTTCTTTTCATTTAAAACTGAATCATTTCTTACTGACTTTCCAGCTTCAGTAGGACATCATCTCCTCTAGATCTCTCCCCAGAGTCTAGGTTAGTGGGCCCCACTCCACCATCTTGCTGCCTTCGTTCACTGAGTCCTGGGTACTGGTTAGTGACAACTTAACTGCCTTTCCCACCAGGCTGTGACTTCCTTAGAGGAGGGATTGTGACTTATTTCATGGTTTAATCCCCAAGTCATAGTGAAAACCCTGCACCTAGTACAGTGTTAGTGTTTGTCAGTCAGTTGTGTCTGACCCTTGGTGACACCAAGGACAATAGTCTGCCAGGCTCCTCTGTCCATAGGATTCTCCAGGCAAGAATACTGGAGTGGGTTGCCCTGTCCTGCTTCAGGGGAGCTTCCTGATCTAGGGATCGAACCATGTCTCTTATGTCCCCTGCATTGGCAAGCGGGTTGTTTACCAAGCACCTAGTATAGTATAAGAAAATAAAGTTTGCTGAATAAAATATGAACAAATAAGTGGGCACCACATCATGATGCTGCATTCCTCATCAGTTCAATGCTTCTCCTAATTAAATCTATCTCTTAATTTGCTCCATTCAAAATATTAGTTAATTCAAATGGCCCCACCCCTCTGCCTCTTGCCCCCAGAGCCTTCTGAAGGACTTCCCTGGTGTCTCAGGTGGTAAAGACTGCAATACAGGAGATCGAGCCCAGATTTGATCCGTGGGTTAGGAAGATCCCCTGGTGAAGGAAACGGCAAACTGCTCCAGTATTCTTGCCTGGAGAAATCCATGGACAGAGGAGCCTGGTCAGCTACTAGCTATGGGGTCGCAAAGAGCTGAACAGTACTGAGCGATTACACTTTCACTTTCATCCCTATGCCTCTCCTCCCCAAAAACTTCTGTAGGCCTCCATGTGGAGTGACATTAGAGGGGAAATGCACCAGTCACAGGTTTGAAGAAAAATACTTACAAAATCGTTGCTCCTCTGCACAGTCTCCTGGAATTCTGCTGGGTGGTGATGGCCCTTATACTGGTGGTGATGGGGTGGGAGGCTGCCCATGGAAACAAGCTCTGCATCCAGAGCAATCCAAGGAGACTCCAATGAAAATAAGCCCTGTCCAGAGTGAACAGAGACACTTGCAAAGCAAAGGTCAACCATGATGCTTGAATTGCATGGCTATAGAGAGGACTTTGTGCCAAGACTAAGAGCAGATTTTCATGGAGCTTCCAGCTCCCAAGTTGTTGGCCATGCAGTTGGGGGACTGTGGTAAAAACTGAGATGAACTGGAGAATATTCTTGTAGAAGGATCCATAGAGATCTTCAAGCTTAATTTTATCAGCATTTGGAAACTCAGGCTCAGAGAGGGGAAGCAGCCAGCCTGTAAGACGCAGACAGAGATGGGGCTAGACGTGTGGCCCATGGCATCAGGGTCAGTGACCAGTGAGGTCATTCTTCCCAAACCTTCTCTTGTGTCTGAGAGCTCTCCATAACATCCCTCACAGTGGAACCAGCCTCAGAACAAATGTTTGCAATGATGGGTGGCTCAGGACCCATCCTCTGCCATCTGCCCACTCCATTGAGTCAGTAGAGTGTCTCCTAAGAGTGAATATAGTCTGCCTCCATATATATCCCCATATATACAGTGTTCCTTGGCACCTTTTCCCCAGCTGCTCTACTCTCAAGGAAGGGGCCACAAGTTAAAGCTCTCAACTTAAACCAAAGTTCCCAACATAGCCCCTGTGTATCTATTCACTGCCACTCCAAACTCACCTACCTCTCTCTCCATGGCCCTACTGTCTTCCTCCTTTTTCAGAAAAATACCAACATCATTGCTGCCTTGGCCTTCTGCACAGACCATTCCCTCCTAACAAAACTCTCCTCTTGAAGACAGTGTGAGTTTGTTCTTGCCGTTCAAACTCACAGCCAAGTCCTGACTTAACACATTTGTAGACTCACATCACCTCCACCCTTTGGATGACAACTCCAGGTTCATATAACCACATCGGAAACATAACAGACATCAGAGCCACAAGGAGGGCTTAGAGTTCAACTTAACCTCCTTGCTGGGAAGATTGGGGAGCCTATGGTCCTGAGAAGGAGAAGGACACATCCAAAGCTACATGTGAATTGAACCCAACTTATTTTCCTTTTCCATTTCATATCTTTTCGGTTTGTTGAAATTTTCTGCTTGGGCAATAGCTTTTTAAAACAAAAGATTAAATAAAATCATCTAATAAGTTTGTTCAAATTGTGGATGCCTGAGCTCCTCCCCAGTTACTTAGGGTCAGGGGCTCCAGGGTGGCTGGACAGAAGTGGAGTTATTCAGAATAGGGTGGCTCAAAGGTACTTTTGACCTTGAGTTCTAAGAGCTGTGATCCCCACACCATCCTCTGGACCCCACCCTGCCTAGACATGACTGCACAACACTAGGTGCTTATCTTGCTTCATCTGTGTCACCTCATCATTAACCACGCAGGGGTGTTACTGCCCTCATTTCTTGACTAGGGACGTGAGGCTCAAAAGGGGAGGGTGACTTCCTCAAGACCACACAGATGGGAAGGGGCAGAGCTGGAGAGTGCACCAAGTTCTGCATCCTCTCCCACCAAGATTGGCTGTTCCCACCCTCAGCCTCTGGGGCAGCA